AGGATGTGAGAAGTGAGTTTTGGAAGAGAGGAGCGCCATTAAAAAGCAAATGAACACAAAACCTCCAGGACAGCCTCCCTTTGCCAAGGGGATGATACTTAAAAGGCCACCCCGAAATGAATCCCAAATGAATGCTCCCTCCAAGCCTCTCTCTTGGCAGGTTAAGGGAGCCCAGGGCTATAAACCCCCACTGCCAGTACAAACTGTCTCAGGGTAAGTGGCAGCTTCGTCCTGGCTCCAGCCCACGGGTTCCTCAGCATGAAGGGGTTTCCTCTGGACCCCCACCCATCACCCCCAAGGCTCCAGCCCCTGAGGCCTGTAACTCACCAGCAGCTTCTGGGAGGAAGCAAACAGAATCTCTATTTGTTAAAACAATGTGTTTTAAACACTTTAAAGAGTTAGATTTCATGTCAATGCAGGTCTGCACCTGTTGGTAGATTAAGGTCCTATGTAGAGAGAGCATTTTCATCTGTCTAAGACCTGGCTTTTCCCTTATAATATGAGAAACATAAGACATTTTACATAAAGAAGAGAAAATATACTTAAGTCATGATAAGCAAAGTCAACATTTTCATATGGTGAAAGAAGGTGCTTCAGTCTTTTTGTCTATGTAGTTAAATTTTTAGTTCTATATGTTATAATAAGGATTATCCCCACGTGGTGAGTGTGATGCTTTTGGAAGTATCTGCTATTCTTCCCAACCTGTTTCCTCACCAAAGCATAACATCTAATCATCAATATTTCTTTATTAGAATTTTAAAAAATCAGGCCCCCAAAATTCAAAGACCCAAGACCGAAATGGGCATCTGAGATGAACACATAGTTCTCAGATGAAGAAATACAAATGGCAAATAAATATATGAAAAAATGTTCAACATCACTAGTCATTTGAGAAATACAAATTAAAACAACACTGAGATTCTATCTCACCTCAGAAAGAATGGCCATCATCAAGAAATCAACCAGTGACAAACGCTGGAGGGGCTGTGGGGCAAAAGAAACTATTTTCCACTGCTGGTGGGAGTGTAGACTGGTGCAGTCACTGTGGAAATCAGTGAGGAGATTCCTCACAAAACTAGGACTAGAAGTCCCACTTAACCAAGCTATTCCCCTTTTGGGTATTTTCCCAGAAGAATTAAAAACATACCACAGTCATATATATGCACCCATGTTTATAGCAGCACAATTTACCATAGCTAAATCTTGAAACAACCCAAATGCCCATCCACTGAGGATTGGATAAAAAAGATGTGGTAAGTCCAAGGTCGTGAGTTTGATGCCCTATACCAAAAAACAAAAACAAAAAGGCAAAAACAAAAACAAAAACAAAAACACGTGGTATTTTTATGCAATGGGATATTACTTAGGTATAAAAAAGATAAATTTGAAGCTTTTATAGGTAAATGGATACAACTAGAGACCATACTTATAACTGAAATAAATTGGACCCACATGTGTAAACATCGTATTGTCTCCCTAGTGTAAGAACCTGAAAGAGTAAATAAAACCTAAAATATACAATAGATATTATGAAAGGGAAAGAAATTGCTCAAAGAAGGAACAACTGGGATGAGGGAAAGGAAGAAAAGAAAGAAGCAAGGAAATATATATATATATACACACAAACACATATATCTGGGATAATTGTACTGCTGATGTCTAATGGTTTATTGAAAGGAACAGCTAATGCTTAAATTTTTTTTGTGACCAAGTTTGCATGCTTATATCTGGTAATCTGAACAACTAATTTGGAGACAACAACATGTAATATAACAACCATTGATGAATTTCTGCCATCTTGTTTAGAGAAGTTCTGTACTGTTTCTAATTTAAAATTTTTTTTTTTTATTCTCTTTAATGGTTTGATCAGCCTTGCATTCTTACATCTGGTAATCTGAGCAACTTCGCTGAAGATAACAATATGTAATATAACAATCACTGCTAATTTCTGTCATTTTGTTTTGAAACTCTGTATCACTTTTACTGCTTTTTGTTTTGTTTTTGTCTATATTGTTGTTATGTTGTTATTTTTTAAATCCTCTTTAAAACAAAATATATTCCTTTACTTTGACACTTGTTCTTTATTTGCCACTATTCTGCACGTCAGATCACTTCCTTATACCCTTCTCCTCCTTTCCCCGGCCAAGCGCCTGATGCGGTAGTGTGAAATAACTTCTCAAATGGCTTTTTGCGAGTGGGGTTTTCCTTACAGTGTATCTTTGTGCCAGATTGTGTTGGGAAGGAGTGGGGCGATAACAAAGGGGAGAGACATTGAAAGGAGCGTAGGGTTCAGGGGGCGGTGGTCACTTTATAGCAGTTAAGTCAAAGGCCTGGGATGGAGCTGCACCGTGGAATTTGGTAGGTACACACTGCTTGGTCCCTTAAAGAGGTGAGTAGGGACGTGTTTGTTGTAAAGCTAGGTAAATTTTCAAAGATCACTGGAACTCAGCATGATCTGCCTGGTAGAACTCTGTTACCTAGCTCCAGCCAGCAACCGGCCACTGCTGCTCAAAGCGTGGTCTGAGAACTGTTTTGTTACTGGTCCATGACAAAAATCGAGAACAAGCACCTAGAAATATGTTAAGCAATATTGTCATTGCTGTAACATCTGAGTGTGTGATCAGTGGACTCATCTTGCTGCATGGGCTATATACCAGTTCACTGATTAAATGTACATAGTGCGTTGCATGTAGCATGGGCTGCATTTTGGTGTATGCAGTAAGACCAAGACAGATTAACTCTGGAAGTAAAATTAGTCGTTAGCTACCATGTGAGAAGCACTCTGACAAGCTAATGCTTTGCACAACTTCCTTCCTTCAACTACACTGGACTTTGATACAAGAAGGAGACAGACCAGGCAATAGAAGAATAATGATAATAACAGGCATTAATTGAGCACTTAATAAGTGGTAGGCTCTGTGCTAAGTACTTCACTCATATCGACCAATTTAATTCACACTATTACTATTCTCATATACCATTTTTATTTCCACTCCAGAAACTGGGGAACAGGAGGCTTATGAAGTGGGATTGAAAAATATGGTGGAGGTTTAAATAAAAAAAATTGTTACAGTAAAAGACACATTGTCATTAATCCCACTCAAAATACTTGTCCTTATTTTGAACACACAGGCAGCACTGCTCTTGCCAATTTCTGAGGCAGTTCTGGAAGTCCTTTTTTGTGATTGTTCTTAATTGCGCTGTCCTGGCCGTGTTGATGTCCTGAACCACTTAAAAAGATTCAGCTTTCACGATCGGTTTTACTTTGGTGGAGAGCCCGAAGTGTCACGGTGCCACACCTGGTGAATAGTGAGGACGCACTGTAAAGTTTTTTCGAGCCTGCCTTTTTACTGATGGCATTCACCAATAGCGTTCACCATATTTTTGATCACGCCTAATAAAGACACGAACGAGGCTATCCAGAATTGCTTTAGACAGTGGCAAGAATGATGAGCTACATGTGTTCAAAGTGGAGGGGAGCATTTTGAGGAGAATTAATGGCAATGTGTCTTTTATTGTTTTTTCTTTGTAATAAATGTTTTAAAAATTTAAACGTTCACAACAGAGTGTTTTGGTCACACACGCATTGCACAGAGTAGTCTTGTGGTAGGCGTCCATCATTACGGGCCACTAGTGAGCCCGGTCTCAGCTCCGAACCCTTCTGGTTTGTGGAGAATCCTGGCCCCACTCCTCACTTTCTCTTTCCCTTTTTGGCCTTGGCTCTGCCCGCCCCGCTTCATGGGCTGACTCAGGGTTACAGGGGTGGGGGGCGGTCCTGGAAGGCAAGGGTTGAAAGAGCAAGAGGAAGAGCCAGGACGCAAAGGAGCACAGGGCGGAGCTGGGCGTGGGGGCTATTGGCTGGATGCCATTCTTTAGGAAAAAGCAGCGCAGCAAATGTTGTAGAAGGTGGGAATTTGGGGGAAAGAATAGATGTTTAAAGAACCAAGTAGGAGGCATTTACTTTCTGGGTTCTCCACAGTCTTAGGAAAAATTCAATGATCCTACCATGTGTTTAGAGCGAGGGTGGTGTTTTTCTTTTGCAAAAATGGGCCTCGGTGGGAGCTGGGCAGGCTGCCTGGCTGTGCTTGCACGGCATTTAGACCCAGAGCCCTACATCCTGCTCTCAGCGAGCTGTGCTGGACGTGCCGCTTACATCAGAGGAAGAGGAGCCTGGTAATTTTCAACCTTGGGGTCTTCTTCTTATTTTAAAGATAAAAGAATGAAAACATAATAACAAGCACTCATACACTTACAAAATAGCACAAAAAACAATACAAGCAGTACTGAATTTCAGACAAGGTGATAGGAAATTAACAATGGTTGCTGTATTACATATTGATATCTTCAAGGTGGTTACTCAGGTAAACAAATATAGACATGCAAGATTGATTAAACGATTAAACATTAACTGTTCCTTTCAATAAAGTGATAGAAATCAGTAGTACAACTATGTCAGTTATCCTGTATATACATATATACATAATTTCCCCCTTCTTTCTTTTTTCTTTTCCCTCATCCCAGTTGTTCTTTACTTTTGAGCAGTTTCCTTTCATTTCACCTTATCTACTGTACCTCTTAATTTTTATTCACTCTTTCAAGTTCTTATACTAGTGAGACAATACGGTGCTTACACATTCGAGAAATGCAAATTAGAACAACACTAAGATTTAGTCTTTGGGTCTTTATCAAGGCTGGGGGTGGGGCGGTTGTGGAGTCTCCAGCCTAAGCTCTTCTACAGAGCAGCCGTGTGGGACAGATGGGGGAGGGGATCCCTTCATCGTACACCTGGATGGCAGCTGAGGTTCCCTGGAGGAGTCTAATTTTTAGCCTGCATTGCCATTGCTGCTGAATTTCCAAATGATTTTGTGCTAAACTCATTATCTTCCTTTAACTTGTTTTCTTTCAAAACAATTATCTCCATGGACTTGTAACATACATTACTTAGCAACCTGAGGTAGGGACTCTTCTTAGGGAGAACGGCTAAGCTGGAGCAGGTTTCCCCAAGGTTCACTTCGATTCAGAGGGTGCCCAGGGCTCCCAGGGCTCTTCCCAGACACCCTGACCATTTGTATTCACATACCGAATCAGAGCGTTCAGAGAGCAATCAACCGCACACAGATCCTCCACATTTGCAGAACAGGTAATTGTCCTGTTTGATCCTCGTCAGTTTTTCGGGTATGTTACAAGGGCCGAGCTCTGCTGCATAGAGTATTTATTTAGGGAACTTTCCTGAGAGATTCTTTTCCCCTGAGATGCATAATTTGCAGGCTGAGGAAAACATCAGTCTTTTGTGAGCCTGAGATTTTTCAATTTAAAGTGAAATACTTTGCTTCTGGGGACTCCTCTCCATGGGATTGTAAAGTGCCCTGGAGTCAATGTACAATTTGTTCCCTGAGAACTTTGTCTTGGGAGCATTGCAGTGGCTGGAAAGTACGAAAGTTGTTTCAATTTCAACTTCATTCGTGACTCCTGTGCAACCTTAGAGAAATTAGTTAACCTCCTTGGTTTTATGTGGTTCAAAATCAGACTATTACCTCATAGTCTGGGCTCACAACTGAGTAAGGACCTGAGTCTGGTGGGACCCCGGGTGAAGACTGCTGAACCAGCGTGGAAAGCCTCTCTCAGTTCAGAAGGGCATGACCACTAATTCTATTCTGCAGCCCTTCCAGGGGCTTATTACGTACTGACTCAACCTTATATGTGAGGAGTGTCAGGATTTTTAAAAGGATATTCCATGTTTGATTTTCTCGTTTGATTGTTTCCATTCTGGGGAAGGTGGAATTTATTATCACCAAACTTCTATAGTCAATTTAGGGCAGGAACTTAAAAACATGCTAAGATTCGATTTGTAGTCTCAGTAACACATAGGGTAAAACACATTCTTCCCCAACTCCATGGACAGTTTCCATGGTAACATTTACATTTTTTTTAGTGTACATTACACCTTGGGAGCCTCTTAGATGTAGACTCAGAGTTCCTGGGTTTAAATCCTGGAATCCCGGTCTGTCATTCAGTGAGGAATATTAGGCAAGTTACTTAGCTCTTTAAGGCTCATACCTCTCCTTTTTAAAATGGAAATAATGAGAATACTTACTGTATAGTGTTTCTTGGAGAATTAGATGAAATAACACATGCATATTTAGGATGTTTAAAATGTGGTCTGTTATAGAGTAAATTTCCAGTTACATTTTATTGATTTTATATTCTAGTATATCGATATATAATCAAGTTACATTTACAGCAAGTTATACTTAAGAAGTAGCGTGTCCTCAAGCATGTAGAGTGCTACTTTTGTTGATGAACTCTTTTTGTAAGCAGTTTGGTTTGCACACAGAAGCATTTGGCAGAATTTTGTTTCTGTTTGCAAACTCTGCATCAGGTGATGCACATGACCATGGCCATCTATCCCACACAAACACAAACGTGGTCATCTTTTCCGAAGTCATGGAACAATTAAGTTCATGAACCAAGGTACTTTAAAATATGTAGCATATGATAAATCATAAAAATACAAAAAAAAAACCCAAAATGACTCTTAATCTTCCTGCACAATGATTCTGGGTGACATTTTAAAAAACAGAAGCATCACATTTATAGTTAGAAATGTCAAACAGAAGAGAAATATGGAAAGTGGAAATTCTTCCCTTTTTACAAACAAATCCCTATCAGCTGTTTATGATTATTCCCAGCAAAAGGTGCATATTCCCTTATACAGCAGTGTGTTTCTTTCTTTTTCACCCACATCATCCTCAGCCTACTTTCTGCCCTTGTTTTTCCCACCACTTTTTCTGGGAATTCTTTCCACAACGGATTTACTGAATTCTCTTCAATGTTCTCTTAGTAGTGTATTCCACATCATATCGACATATTGTATTTGTCCTGGTATCTACTGATGACACTGGATTGTCTTCAGTTTTGATTGGTTTGCAGTTTGTGTAGATAGGTACACCTGCAAAAATTCTCCAGCACACACATAGCTATCTCTCTATCCCATGTGTGTGCTGGAGAATTTTTGCAGGTGCATCTATAAGATAATTTCATAGCAGTGGGCTTGCTGCATCAGTCTTTATAGTTTTTATAGTTATTTGATAGATCCTCCTGTACTAACCTACCTATCTAAAGGCTGTTTCCCATGCCTTTGTACAGACTCTAGTGTAAGCAGTTTTGCGATTAAAAAAATGACATAGTTATATATTTTTGGTGAGTAGAGTTCTGCACTTTCTCTTGTTTTGATTTATTATTTTTCTATGTTTGTGTGTGCTTACATATTTTTCTATTGTACATTATGTGATTGTAGGCTTTGTCCATTTTTTATTAGTTTATACATATTTTCCTTTTTTATATGATTTTTTTATAATGAATATGTGGCTTAAAAGATATATTAAGTTATATGTAATTTTAATCCTATCTTGGAATAAAAAATTTGTTTATGAGATAGAGTTGACAAAAATTGTATTTACTGACCTGGAATTTTTCTTCTTTTAAAAATAGCACCAGATATTCTTTTTTTTGTACCAGGAATCGAACTCAGGACCTTGCACTTACCAACCAGGTGCTGTGCCACTGAGCTAGATCCCTGGCCCGGGCCTTCTTTTTGAGTAAAAGTCATTTTTTTCTCCATGTGGGGTATATGTAGGTCAGGGCGCAGGACCTACCCTTGCCTACAAAGTTCTCCATGCTCCTGGGTACGACACAGGCATATGATTCACACTGAATAGAGGAGTCCTTCCTGTGATCTTGCTGTAGTCAGTGGAAAAGAGGTGATGCTGTCCTGCAGTATCCATGGTCAGATGGGTTACAGGACCCCATGAGGGTTCCAGTATTTATGGGTGCTCAAGTCTCTTATATAAAATGTCACAGTATCTGTAACCAACACATATGTGTAACCTACATACATCCTTTTGCATAGTTTAAATTATCTCCAGGCTACTTATAATATCTAATACAATGTAAATGCTATGTAAATAGTTGTAAACTATGTGGCTTTTGTTTGAATTTTTTATTGTTGGTTTTTATTTTTTTAATTCTTTTGATCCATGATTGGATATAGCTTCAGATATGGAGCCTGTGGATACACAGAGCCAACTCTACTCTCTCTCTCTGTGCCTGTGTCTATCTCTGTATCTGTCTCTGTCTCTCTGAATATCTGTCTTTCTGTGTCTCTGTCTCTGTCCCTGTCTTTGTTGCAGGAGCTGAAAAAGATAAGTAGGATGCTGAAGAGAGTACAATGCAGTAGAACCTTGTTAGGGAGTGAAAGCAGAGCTACAGAAGAAGGCAAATATATAATCAATAATTTGATAGGAGAGGATGAGCTGAAGATAAGTAAGGGCAGGTGGGGAAAATGTTGCAGTGACGTGAAATTCAAATAATCCCAGCAGAGCTGTGAATGTCATGCAATCCTGATTTTCAAGTTATATTACAAAGCTACGGTGATTTAAAACAGTATGGTATTGGCACAAAACAGACATGTGTATTAATGTAACAGATTTGAGGATGCAGAAACAACCCCAGACACATTCAGCCATCTTACCTTTGACAAAAGGGCCAAAAACATAAGCTAGAAGAAAGGTAGTTTTTTTTAGTAAATGTTGCTGAGAAAACTAGCTGTCCACATACAGAAGATTGAGGCTAGGCCCATATCTCTCACTATGTAGTAAACTAAAATCAAAATGGTTAAAAGATATAAATATTAAAGCACTTAACCTGCTGGAAGACTTCTGAAGTCACAGATATAACCAGGTAGTTTCTAAATAGAACCCCAAGAAAAAGAATCAAGAATCAACAAATGGGATTATATCAAACGAAAAAGCTTCTCTACAACAAAAGAAACAAGCAAAAGAGCAAAGAGACAATCTACATAATAGGCAAAAATCTTTGACAGCCACACCTCAGACAGATGACTAATATCTAGACTATATATAGTGAGTGCAGCATAATTAGACTCCACAAATAAAAGACCCAATACAAATGGGCAACTGAAATAAATAGATACTTTCATAAAAGCAGCTCAGAAGGAGTACAAATGGCCAATAAATACATAAAAGCCGTTTAACATGACTGCTCATTAGAGAAATAAAAATTAAAACAACACTGAGATTCCATCTTACTCCAGAAAGAACGGCCATCATCAAGAAATCAAATAATGACAAATGCTGGTGGGGGTGTCGGGGAAGGAAACCCATCTACACAGCAGGAGTGTAGTAATCCAGGACAACCACTGTGGAAGCCAACACGGAGAGTCGTCCTCAAAAACCTAAAAACAGAGATTCCATTTGACCCCACTGTTTCCTACTAGGCATCTTCCAGAAAGAGCTAAGGACATCATGCTGCAGTAATAAGTGCACACCCATGGTTATAGCAGCATAACAGCTCAATCCTGTAAGCGGCCTACATGACCATCAACAGATGGAGTATGACTTTCCCATAAAGAAGGATAAACTTGAGTCACTGATGGGAAAGTGAGTGCACTTTGAAACCACAATGTTAAGGAATAAATCGACACATGAGCTTAAATATGGTTTCTCTTACATGAGAAACCCAAAGTGTAAATAAATTAAAGCTGAATAAAAGATAGAAAAAAAGGAAGCAAGGAGATAGAGGAGGAGGACAAGGGTACATAAAGAGAAGTAAGGTGTGTCATGTACACACACCAATGAACTGCAATGAATGTAATCATTATGTATGGCAACCATGTACTCATGCGAGAAAAGAAGGAATGAATGTGCACCAGCAGTTGCACTATGACCTCTCTGTTGAGAAATGGCCAAGTCCTAACAGGAGACTGGTTCGATAAACATTAGTCAGCCTACAGCCTCCAGTCTTCCTGTACATGTGACTCTATGTTCCTGAATCTTTTTTTTTTTTTTTTTGGTAAACACACACACACATACAAATACACAAACACACACACACATACACACACCAATAGCTTCAGAGGCATTGAAGTTCAGGATCTCTCTTAATTCCACATCCCTCACTAATTCTTTCCTTCCCTTTCCGTATTAATTGGGAATCTGGGATTTGAATGTCCCCACATGTGAGGGGGTGAGTCCTACTTCATTACACAGATTTTAATAACCAGGGTTCCACACTAAAAACATATAAAGCCAGGACTTCAGAGTCCGATTTCATAATGCTGCT